ATAACCTTCTTCTCTTCCATGTGCTTAGGGATGACTTTCAGAATGAGGTGCTCTATCATTTTTCCAGGGATGGAGGTGAGACTGACTGGTCTGTAATTTCCTGGATCTTCCTTCTTGCCCTTCTTGAAGACTGGATGACATTGGCTTCCCTCCAGCCCTCAGGCACCTCTCCTGTTTGCCATGATCTTTTGAAAGTGATGGAGAGTGGCAGGGCAATAATGTCAGCCAGCTCTCTCAACACTCCTGGGTGCAGCTCATCAGGGCCCATGGACTTGTGCACATTCAATTTGCATAACTGATCTCTCTTCATTGCCTAGTGGAGAGTCTTCCCTCCTCCAGGCTCCCTCTCATACCCAGGGTCTGAAGTTCATAAGGGCTGGTCTTAGTAAAGACTGAAGCAAAGGAGGAATCCAGCAACTCTGCCTTCTCTGCATCCTCTGTTACCAGGGCTCCCACCTCACTCAGCAGTGGGCTCAACATTTTCCCTGTTCTCCCTTTTACTACTGATGTATTTGAAGAAGCTCTTTCTGTTCTCTTTTACTTTTTCTGCCAGTTAAATTCTAAGAGGGCTCTGGCCTTTCTTGTTGCCTTCTTACATACCCTGACAATGTCCCTGTAGTTCTCCCATGTGACAAGTCCCTTCTTCCACAAGCTGTAAATTTCTTTCTTCCACAAGACTTTCTTCAGAAGATCTTTGCTCATCCATGCAGGTCGTTTACGAACTCTTCCCGATTTTGTGCTGGAATGAATGCACTACTGAGCTTTTAAATATTAGTTATTATTAATTTTGTATAGATAATTCCATTAGACATAAACCATTGACCAAGTCTGAGATTAAGATTGGATCTCGCAGCATCTAAGCTTCATCAGGAGTTTAGAAAGAAAGGGAGTTCACTCTGAACCTCATGACTCAACAGGAGGGTGTCACTTACCCTGCATCTCTGCATGAATCAGTCTACCATGCATCTTACTCAATTTTCCTATGTATGTTTATTCCATGCAGTAATTAATCCTGTACCTTGCATTGAATGTCATTAAAGCACTGTACCATTTACCATGGAACTTTGCTCACTCACTGTCTTATATAATAAAGTCATCAAATCATCACAGAATCATAGAAGGTGTGGGGTTGGAAGGGACCTGTAAAGATCATCTAGTCCAACTCCCTGTGCAGTGCATAGAAACGTTTTTTACTAGATCAGGTTGCTCAGAGCCCCATCAAGCCTGACCTGGAATGTTCCCAGGGATGCAGCCCCCACCACCACCACCACTCTGTGCAACCTGTTCCAGTGCTTCACCACCCTCAGTGTAAATAATTTTGTCCCAATGTCTAATAAAAATCTACCTGGCTCTAGTTTAAGACTATTGCCCCTTGTTCTATTGCTACATACCCCTATAAAAAGTCCCTCCCCAGCTTTCATGTCTCCTTCATGTACCTGAAGGCAGATATAAGGTTTCCCTGGAGCTTTCTCTACAATCTCTGAACAATCCCAGCTTGCTCAGCCTGTTTTCATAGGAGGGCTGCTCCAGCCCTCGGATCATTTTTGTGGCCCTTCTCTGGACATGCTCCAACAGCTCCATGTCCCTCTTGTGTTGAGGGCTCCACAGCTGGACACAGCACTCCAGGTGGGGTCTTACAAGAGTAGAGTAGAGAGACAGAATCACCTCCCTTGACCTGCTGGCCACACTTCTCTTGATGCAGCCCAGGATGCCACTGGCCTTCTGGGCTGCAAGTGCACATTGTTTGCTCATATTTAACCTTTCATCCACTAGTACCTCCAAGACCCTTTCTGCAGGGCCACTCTCTATCACATCATTCCCTAACTTGTATTGATAATGAAGATTGCTCCTACCCAAGTGCAGGACCTTGCACTTGGCCTTGTTGAACCTCATGAGGTTCACATGGGCCCACTTCTCCAGCTAGTCAGGTCCTTCAGGATAACATCTCACCCCTCTGGCATGCTCACTGCACCAGTCAGCTTGATGTAATCTGCAAACTTGCTGAAGGTGCCCTCAATCCCATTGTCTCTGGAGGCATTTAAATGGCATGTGGACATGGTTTAATGGTGAGCTTGTGGTGTTAGGTCTAAGGTTGGACTAGGTGACCTTGGAGGTCTCTTCCAACCAAAGACATTCTGTAATTCTATCTTGTTGATGTTGATATTAAACAGCACTGGTCCCAGTACGGACCCCTGAGGGCACCACTTGTCATCCCTCTCCATCCAGACATGGAGCCATTGACCACTCCCCTCTGGATGTGACCATCCAGCCAATTCCTTATCCACTGAACAGTCCACCCATCAAATCCATATCTCTTCAATTTAAAGAGAAGGATGTTGTGGGGGACTGTCAAAGGCCTTGCAGAATCCCAGATAGATGATACCCATTGCTCTTCCTTTGTTCACTGATGTATTCTCTCCATTGCAGAAAGCCACTAGGTTTGCTGGGCAGGACTTGCCCTTATTAATGCCATGCTGGCTATTTCGAAACACGTCCCTGTCCTCCATCTGCCTTCTCAGAGCATGTCTTCTAGGAGGAGCTGTTCCATGATCTTCCCAGGCACAGGGGTGAGGCTGAGAGGTGGGTGGTTCCCAGGGTCCTCCTTTCTACCCTTTTTAAAAATGAGTGTCACATTTCCCTTCTTCCAGTCACCAGGGACATCACCTGAGTGCCATGACTTTTCAAATACCATGGAGAGTGGCTTGGCAACTACATCTGCCTTTTCCCTCAGGACTCTGGGATGCATCTCATCAGGTCCCATGGACTTGTGTGCTTAGTGTACAGGTTGCAAACCTTGTCTTTGCTGATGGTGGGAGGGACTTCCTTCCCATGCTCCCCATCTTGAGGTCCTTCAATTCAGGAGGTGTGAGGAGAGAGGTCACCAGTGAAGACTGAGGAAAAAGGTCATTGAGAACCTCAGCCTTTTCCTTGTCTGTTGTTACTAGTTTACCATCCTTGCTCATCAGGGGGAAGGGGATGACACTCTTTAACCTTCCTTTTCTGATTTATATACCTGCAGAAGCCCTGTTTTTTCTTTTTCACATTCCTTGCTAAGTTCAGCTCCAGCCACGCCTTGGCCTTCCGGACCCCACACCTGCACAACCAGGCAGTATCTCTGTCCTCTTCCCAAGATACCAGTCCCTGCTTGAAATGCTTGTGCAGTTCCTTCTTCCTTTCAGTTTGGCCAGCAGATCTCGACTCAGCCATGCTTGTCTCTTCCTTTCCTTACTTGATTCTTGCACCTGGGGATAGAGAGCTCCTGTGCTCTATGGAAAGCATGCTTAGACATCTGCCAGCTCAGTTCTGCTCCCTTGTCCCTGAGGGGCTGTTTCCCAGGGGGTCCTACTGACTAACTCCTTTAAGATGCTGGAAGTTTGCTTTCCTAAAATTCAGGGTTCTGAGTACAATCTTCATCTGACCTGTATCCCTTAGGACTGAACTCCATCAGTGTGTGGTCACTGCAGCCCAGGCTGCCTCCAATCTTGACATCCCTTATGAGCACACCTGCCCTGGTAACCATCAGATCCCCTGCTGCATCTGCTCGGGTAGTGCCGTCTGTTCCCTGGCTGAAGAAGTTATCCCCAGAGCACTCCAGGAGTTTTCTGGATTGCCTGCAGCTCGTGGTTACTTGGAACATATTGCTACTTCTCTCTTTTGAATGAGGTGCATTCCATTCCTTCACAAGTTACTGGACTCAGGCTTCACATGGGAACTTGCCCAGATTGAGTCACAGATCTGCTGTCCTGTCATTTTCTGACTGTCTTTACAGGACATTGTGAGTGGGTTTAGCCCTTTGCTAGCAAATGCCAACAGAGAAGGCATTTTCACACGTATACTCACTCAGCAGGGAAGGTCAAACACCAAAGAGGTAAGGCCAGTAATATGTCCTGTGGAGCTGCTTGAATATCTGAAAAAGGAACTTGGTTGAGCTGTAATGATGCTACTCTATCTTTTCATTTCCCTTTCTGAGTTTGTGTTGCAATGATGATCTTGCAATGAGTCCTAGCAGAAAAAATGATGAAAGTTCCCCCATCTTCATCTGCTGCAGGGAACACCCAGGATACAGCTTTTTATGCACACCAGATTAGAGACTGTGAAGGTTCCTGACCAGTCTGGGAGTAGCCCAAGTGCAGCCTTCTGTGCAGGAAGACTGTAGATGTGGCCATACTGTGGACTCTTGGTGGAGAAGAGTGATACTGAGGTACAGATAATGAATCACCGAGGGAGAGTCAGTGCTGGAACTTCAGGTAACCACAAAGCCTTCCTTTCTGTCCTCCTGTAGGAGAAGGAGGAAATGGGGGAAAATACAGTACTGGGATAAGCCTAGTGGGAGGTGTCCCTGCCCATGCAGGGGGGTTGGATCTATGTGATCTTTAAGGGCCCTTCTAACCCAAACCATTCTTTGGTTCTTTGGGCATGGTACAGTCGCTGGTCTCATACCAGAAGAAAAGGCTTGGGACAAGTAACAGGGCAAAGTAACAGGGGAACTGAAGAGTGGCTAGGCTGGGAGAATGACCTTTTACTGAGAACCAGGAGGGATGAAAGTCCAGGCAGCCTGAGGTCTGCCATCCCCTTCAGTGGTTTTTTTCTGTAAACAATGGGACTGAAAAATGCTATCCTACTGTTATTATCCAGGTAGAACTATCTGCATCAAGCTAAGCACAAAACACTGCTCCCATCTGTGGTATCACTTAAGGAGAACCAAGCAAGCTTCCAAGTGCCCCTTCTCCCTGACCAAACAGCCTGCTCTGTGTAACTGGCTCTGCCAACACTGAACAGCACAGTCCCTCCTTGGAGTCACCATGGGTCATTGCATATATATAGGCTTGGGGAGTAGAACCAAAGTAAAGGTAGCTGAGAAGCTCTAAAGAGAGATGACAAGGAGGGAGGTGTGGAAAGAGCATTTAATGAAAGACAGAGGTAACGGAGGGTAATAAAGAAGATGTGTTGGGAAAAAGGGAGGTGTGAGAGGACAGGGAAAGAAGGGGTGCATTTTGGGGACAGTACAGGCAGGGCTTGTGATAAATGGTGGAATCAAAGAGCAGCTTCAGGGCAGCCCCCCCTGTTTGCCCTACTGTGTGGGTCTGACCCACTGCTAATGATGGGTAGCAGGATGTGGTTACAGCAGGACCTTGTTAGGGCACCTGTGGCAGCACCCCAGTCCTTGGAACAAGGGTCCTAGCAGGTTGGTGGGGTGTGGAGTGTCACGGGCTATCCTGCCCCTGACTCTGGGCTGGGATTCCCACTTTTGCCTTCTGTTTTTCAGCCCTACCAGAAGAAAGAGGCTGCTCCTGGCTGAACCCCTGGGTCTTCCTTGTTTCTGTCCTTGTCATCAAAACTGCCTTTGCAACCATCTGCCTTGGTGGGTTCCAGGTCTCTTAACTCCTCTGGGCTGAAGGGAGCAGCTGGCTGCCTTTTGTCAGATGGAAAACCAATATCCTAGTCTGTCTGCCAGCAGGCAAACTCCGTTTCCCACCTCTGCCCTCTTAGTCAGGGAGTAGGATCCCTTCCACAGTTCTGTTTTGTTCCCTGGCAGGGCTTTCCAATTGCTTCTCTCACTTTCCCACTGCTTGTCTCACCTTCCCACCTGTCTGAATAAAACCAGTCCTGGATGAAACCAGATGGTTTCTCCCCTCCTACCAAGAGGTGAGAGGTCTCTTCAGTGTCAGAGGGCATCTGAAGCAGGTTCCCTGAAGGCTGGCTGTTGGGTGTTGGTTCTCCTGACCTGGTCTCTCTCTCAGAACTCTGTGTGGCAATGTTGCACCCCAGGAGACTGCCTGCCTGTTAGGAGGGTGAGGGTGAATGCATCAAAATGCTCCAGCTGCATCCCACCCACCCTGGCTGGAACGACTGAAAGAGAAATCCTTTGCTTGTGCTGTCCTGGAGTGTTACACTGCTCTGTGATGACTTTGCTGTGCTTCTTAACTCCATTGGGTGAGGCCTCAGCACTCAACAGTCCACCCCTTCTTAAGTGTAAAAGTGGTGCTCTACAGAGGCAGTGCCCAGGAAGATTAAGGGGAAATGCATATTAATTTTAATTTTAATTTTATTAAACTTATCCAATGACTTCTTTGACCCTTTCCTGGCCCCATCCTCAAAGGATGTCTAAGCTGGTTTTGTCAGCTGGGAAAATGAGCCTCTCAGCTAGCAGAGGTGGAAGAAGCTAATCCAATTAATTCAAAGGAAGGAGTGAGCAGTAGTGAGAGGAACAGTCCTCCTCATCTCCTTGTTCAATACAGATTTCAGAGTTGGTTAATATAACAGTCTCTGCAGGTGCTCTGAGACAGAAGAGGGAGGGCAGGAAAGGATGACTGCAGCAATGTCCTTCTCTTTCCTCTCTTCCCAGTTGTTTTTCTTGGTGGAAGCTCTGGTCAGTACAAGACTCTGCTCCAGAATGCTACAGAGTGGCATTGTGTCCCCAGTGTGTCTGCAGACAAACGTGAGTCACTCTAAGAGCCTCATAAGCAACAGTAAGAAATGTCACCAAAATTTACTCTGGTGTCAGTCAGTCTTTGAGACCGGGAATGTGATTGTCACCTAGAGATGGATTGTTTTGAGGAAGGAATATGGAAATAGAGGAAAGAAAATGCTATACTGCATAATTTTACTTAGGGTGCTATGAAAATGTGCTCAGGGCCAGTGGAAGAGGGGGTGTGGTTCCAGGCCTGCCTTTGACCACCCTTCCTACTCTTGCACTCTCACTGCTCCTCATACAAGCCCTCAACTGTTAGACCAGTTTACTAATCTAGCTGAAAGAGCCTCATCCTTTCAGGATGGAGGATGTTGTTATGCAGTTTAGAGCAGCTGGAGAGATGGGGTGCAGTGGCAATGGCAAGTGCTAGAATTCCTTCAGTGCAAATTCCCAAACTCAGTTCAGAGAGCTGTTCTCACTGTGCACTGTATTCAGAGAGAGTTAGTCTTGCAGTTTGCACAGAGCATAACCCCTGTGCATTGAGTGCACCTAAGCTAGCTGGTCAGTCCATGATAAAAAGGTGTCTGCAAGTATAAAATAGTCATTGTCCACCTATTCTTATGGTGGACATCCCTGGAATGCTGTGTTCTACACATGCTTAATTTACTGTTCCCTGTAAAAATACCCCTGTCTAGCTCCACAAGGCACAAGAATATCCACCAAACAGCACACAGACTCTCCCAACAAACACTCTGAAGAATCCAGAAGAAATTGTCCAGCATTGCTTAGTCATGTGGGAGAATTTTCAATGTGGAATTAAGAATGGATGGAAAGGTTTGCAGAGTACATGGTAGCTACAGGCCATCCTCCAGCAGTTCAGTGAAAGGTCAGAGACAGAGAGCTCCAAGTTCCTTTCACTGCTCAAATTTGATTTTGCATATTTTCTGATGCTCTCCAGTGCCACAGTCTCTCTTTCTACAAAGATACATATTGGTGTACTTTGAGTGGATCTATAGTACCAGAGCACAGGCAGTTAACACAAGTCTGGCTAGCCATTCCATTCACTGGACTCTACTACCTCCATTTGGTGCCAAGAATGGAATGTGGGATTTTGTGCTGTGCAGACATCTCTTGAAGGGAACAGGGTTATCTGGGTCCGCCCTGTATTGTATGATGTCTTGTGTGCTATGGGTGGGCTGGAGCACTGGTTTGACCAGGGCATTGTCACTGCATGCAGGCCTCTGAAGAGCTCTTGACTGGGAAACCCAAGAAGTCAGCCCCTGTGAGGTCTGAGATTCAGTGCATTTATCTAAGGCAGCACATATTAAGGTGCATTTGTTGACTTTATTAGATGAACTTTTCAGCCTGATATATTTTATACAGAGATATGTTAAGAGTATCAGCTCACAGATACAGATATATAGCCTCAAAGCCTGTAGCCTCATACTTTGAGAGAATATATATGTGGATTTTTTTAACCCATCGTGTCGCTTTCTGGCTGTCAGGCAGTTTTGCAGGAAAACCCAGCTCCTGCAGGGAGCTTCCTGTGGTGGTGGAAAGGCTGTCATAGTCTTCTGCTGTACACGTCTGTCTGTCTGCATGAGCTGAGAGCTGAACACTCGGACAAAACTTCTCTAATGGAAGTGTTCCCAGAGGAGCACGATCCAACTACTTCCCATTTTGCATCCTTAGGAAAAGAAAGGCAGAAACTGTATCTCTCACCAGAGAGAGGCTGCATGGACATGACAGAACAGATGGGAAGAGAGCAAGGCACTTCAGGCAGGGGCCTTGTGCCAGGAGCCTGTCAGGCTGTTGACCGCTGTACTTGTGGAGCACAGAAGGGAGCATTTACTTCTGTCCAGATTAAAGGCATTGTTCAAAACTGGTCCCTAAGACGTGGGACCCTTCACCAAGTTCACTGAGATGAAAGACAAGCTTGTTCAAAACCAGGAATTTTTTCCCCCACAGAGGAGGGCTGGATGTGCTGCCCGAAGGGTTGGAGACGCTTTCAGGAAAAGTGCTATTATCTGTCAGATGATAAAATGTCCTGGGCTGAGAGTGAGCAGAACTGCACTGGGATGGGCTCCCATCTGGTGGTGATCAACAGCAAAGCAGAGCAGGTAGGTTCAGGGCTGAGGGAGGGGCACAGCAGCCAGAGACACAGTGCCAGGCCATGGAGGGGACTCAGAGCCCCTCTTTGCAGTGATTCTGAGGGTTGTCCTTTCTGCATCCCTTCAGCACCATCTCTCCTCTGGCACCAACCCCACCCCACAGGGACTCCTGCCACCTCCCTCTGTTCAGTCCTGCACCTCATGGATGTTGTGCTTTTTCCAGGAGTTCCTCTTTAACTGGGCAAAAGAAGTATTTACTAATGCCTATGAAACAAGATACTACATAGGCTTAACGGCGTATGAGAATGGGCAGTGGCAGTGGGTGGATCAAACTCCGTATGAAAAGGCAGCCATGTAAGTATGCTGGGGAGTGAGAAAGGCCCTGCAATTCACAGCTCAGTCCAAGTGACCAAAATATTGTGTAAGGCAGGTGTGTGTCAGAGAGAGGTCTCTGTCCCTAACTGCAAAAGTCAGAAAACTTGATTTGTTTTGTAGTCAAAATCATGACTTGTCTTTTCCTTGCCAGGGCTCCTGATCTCTGTCACAGTAACCTTATCCCTTGTCTTTCTCAACTGTTTGAGGTGACTTCACTCCCAATGTTATGCATGGCCAATAGAGGAACTTTCTTTTACAGGTTCTGGAAACCTGGGGAACCCAATTTACTCTTTGCAGAAAAATGTGCTGCAATTCATGTCAAGGGCAAAACAGACCCCAACACTTACCATAACTGGAATAATGTCCTTTGCTTCACAAATTGTTATCGAATTTGTGAACTGGCAGTGAAATTTGTCTGAGGAAGTAAGCTCCATTTTGGATGAAGAACTTAAGAAAGGGAGAAAGAACTGATTAAAAGCTTGTCTGAACCCACACAAATACTGCATCTTCAATGTAGGATGAACAAGCTTGCCACGGAATCCCAGCTGTGAAGGAACTCAGTTCCCAGCCTGTGTCCCTGCATCTTTTTGCAAGCTGAAGACCAGTCCCAGATGAAATAGTTCAGGCTTATTTCAAAGACCTACTGTGCCCTTTTTCTCTCTCCTCCTTCATAGATGGGTGCCCTAATCCTCCAGTACTCACCTTGCCTCCTTGTGTAGTCAATAACTCAATGACATGGAAAAGGCCCCCTCTCTCATGAAGATACTGTTCCTACTAATTACTGGGGCAAAATTTGAAAGAAGAGCATTCAGTGGAGTGTGCTTGGCCCACCCCTGAAGGGAACTTATCTATTTGTGGCTTATCTTTGATGTTTCCCTCTTCCTTCAGCATATCCACTGTTAAAAACCAAACAAACACATAAATAAATGTTAATTCTGTTCTTTGTCTGAGGCTGTCTTCTGAGTGACAAGTCCCAGCCCCCCACCAACCCAGCCTCCCTGCACAGAGGTTTTAACTTTTTTGTGTGTTTGGCACCTGCAGACTATTACTTTGAGTATGCTGGACGGGTCAGGAGCAGGAACAACATACTGTTCATCTGCAGAGCGTGTGGGAAATGCTGAGAGCACTTCTGGAGAATCCTATGTGAGGGAAGAAACAGAGCAAGCTGTATAGTAACCAAGGGCAAGAACTGTTTGCTCAGAACATAGCAGAGAGGAGATGAATTTTGGAGATGCTGCTGAGACACGTGGCAGGAGTAAACATGGCAATGAAGAGGAGAGAAAGCAAACAAATATCACATGAAGGATAAACATCAGGGTGACTTGTAGTGTGAGAAAAGGGTAGAAGACCCTATCAGACACATCACTGCAAATCAGACACATAGAACTGTTGAGCAAGTGCTCTGCTTCCCTCAAATTCCCCAAACCCTTGTCTGTATATTCCTGGCCTGCCATCAGTGATATTCACACTCCATAAAGAGCTGGGATTTTCCAATTTGGGAATAAAATCCCACCCTGAAAATCAGTTCTGATTGATTTATTTTTTCTTTTTAATTAATGAATAATCTGAGCACAAATTCGTGTTATTTCCACCTGAAGCAATGTATTTCCCAGGTTTCTCTTTTAGCCATTGGACCAAAAGCTGGGCTATTGTAAACCCTCCTGTTTTCTAAAGTTGCTGAGATCTTTTCACAATGGAGAAAACTTTGCTGTCCTGTCCAATGTGACAGCAAACAAAAACATTGCAATGGACTTCTATTTTCAATTTCCCCAAACCCATTTCTGGAAATCACAGAGGCAGGGTTTTGAAGAAAAAAAAGGGGCAGATTTGACAAACAGGGAGTGACCAATGTTTTACAGGTTTTAGCTACAGTTCCAGCTGCTGAGAGCTGGTATGGGGCAGGGCAAAGTCCACAGAGGAAGACTGGTTTGCAAGAAAATGCAGCTGGCTAGAAAGAGTCTCCATGCCCCAAATTTGGAACATGAAGTGTTTCTCAAGATGTCCTACAAAAGAGAGTTCTTGGAAGAGGATACTGAGTTTGCCTCTACAACTGCTGAAGGAAGTTCCTGCTCCTGTCTCCCCACACGCACACACACACATATACATGCATACATGGGTACAAACTAATTCTTTTACTTTAATTGTACAACACAGCAAATGAAGGAAGGCAGAGGAATAGGTCCCTGACCCTGCTTTGTGCAGCCACTGTTGAAGGATAAGTGGTGAAACTCTGAGCAAGAGCTTGAGCCACATCTCTGAATAAAGCTCTTGACTAGTCCACCCCAATCGCAATACTTTGTGTTTAGGGATGGTCTCTGCACAGAGTGGGTGTTTGCACAGATGTAGAACAATGCAAAAAGCCTTCCTTTTAATGTATTCCTCTTCAATACAGACTTATCTGGAAGAGGTGCCTCTCTCCAACATATGAGAAACAGGCATTATGTCTCAAGTCTTTCTTGATTCAGGAAGCAGCAGATGTCATAGCAAGAGGCAGAGGTAAATATATAGAGCCAGATACAGCACTTTCTGAAAGCTTCAGAAGAACAATACCTGGATATGGATCCAGGAAGTTGGTTGGAAAGGACAAAAAGTTTATCAGCTTAGCATAGTTCATTATGGCATCTGCAGTCCTTGTTTTCAGGTGGGCATTCTGGCCACACCCCAACTGCCTGTCAGAACAAGATCTGGATGCACTTCACTCATTGACACATTAACTTTTCCTTTGGAAAGGAACTCAGGTCTGAGGAAGGAGCCACAGTTTTCTGGCTTAAAAAGTTTATAAGAAAAGAGGAAAGAGGAGATTGAGTATGTGAGACCTGCAATTCCTAGATACATTGATAATGAGAAGTAATAGTCAATCAAAAACTTTATTCTGCAGTTACTGGCTTTGATGGTACGTGGGATTTAAAAATTTTTGCTTTTCTCCAACTGTCACGATCCGTGACCTATTACATCTCCTTATTGGAGTGTATTAACTTATCAGGATTTGCTGAGAGATCCACACGTGGGTATC